TATATATTCTGGTAATTTTATAGTCTAACCCTGACCGTTTACCTGACCCTAAAACTGACCTAAACCCAACCCAGCACCCAAAAGTAGCATCCAGGACTGGGCTTTAGTCCCCATGAGGCTGCTTTTTTCTAGAAAATGGTTCCCACGATGTAGCAAAAACGTGCTCACACACACACCCACAATCTGGTACAGCTATCTTTATGGGGACCTGGCACTGACTTCCATTAAAGCCTAACCCTGACCACAAACCCTAAGGCTAACCTCAAAGGTACCTACCTGACCCTAAAACTAACCTAAACTCAATTCACACTTTAGTCCTAAACCCCTCGACCCACAAACAGCATTTCCCCTTATGGGGACTGTAGGTGTGTATGCCKAAAAAAACTGTCCCACAACATTGAACAACCGTATTTGTTCAATTTTTCAAGTAGAATGGTGTGGTCAGTGGTGTCAAAACCTTTCRTCAAGTCAACACAAACACTAACACAGTACTGTTTATGATCAACTGCAGTTGTTATTTGCTCTATTAAGTCCATGAGTGCCATTGATGTGGTTATTTGCTCTAAACCCATACTGACTGCTACTTAGAATATTATGTTTATCAATAAATTGATCCAATCTAAGCACAAATAATTTCTCTAAAACCTTTGAAAACTATGGTAACAAGGATATTGGTCTGTAATTATTGAACAAACATTTCTCACCATTCTTAAAGAGAGGAATTACTTTGGCTGTTTTCATATTATCTGGAAATATACCATTTGAAAATGATAAATTACATATGACTCAATAACTTAATTCATTATTTCTTTTTTGTCTGTTCCATTAAGAAAAATACTGTCACTACAACCCATGACCGTATGGAGGACCTCAGTTTAGCTTGCTTGTAGCACTAGCACTGAGCTAATACATATAAGGAAATATAGCTTCGGGCTAGTGCTAAAGCTAACAGGCTAATCTGAGGTTGTTCTTCCATGAAGCAGCTCTGTTGTCCTCCATCCATATTTTCAGTTCCAGGCTGAGTCATTTCTACCTTCTCCTCTCTGTCAACGCTCTCTGGTTTCATTTAACCTCTTGAGCCCCATGCCCCCGCCGGC